CTGCTTGCGAAAGACCAGAGTCTGGAGCACATTAAACAACAACAACAAAAGAAAGGGAGCTGTGGCAGCAGGCTGCTTAGTCACTCATCTCTCCAGCTCCGAGTCCAGAAATGTCCACCTCTCTGAGGAGCCTGTTTTCTTCTCCACCCAGTCCACATAGTTGGAGACTTTAGTGTACACACCATACACCTGCTTGCTGCCGCACTCCTCTGGGCCACCCCATGAGACCAGCCCTTGGGCCACCCATCTCCGGGTTCCTGGGTCCTGGATGACGAAGGCTCCTCCGCTGTCTCCCAAGCAAGTGTCCTTCCCACCTTCATAGTAGCCAGCGCAGAACATGTTCTCAGTCACACTGTAGTTCCCCGACCGTGATTCATAGCTGGTCTTACACTCTGCGTGCAGCACCACCGGCAGCTTGACATACTGCAGGATGTCGGACAGTGTCCTCATGCCCGAGCTGATGATCTCGTCCACCGTGATGTTGGGGTTGGAGATACCCCAGCCAGCCACCAGCCCCAGTGTGTTGGGGTGAGGACCCTCCAGCTCGTGCTCAAACTGGGGCAGGCAGACAGGCATGACATAGTTCCCCATGGTCACCTTCTCCTTCAGTTTGACCAGAGCAATGTCATGGTTGTAATTCTGGATGTCAAACTCCTCGTGGAGGATGATCCTCTCCACTGTCCGGTTGACAGCCTCCATCTTGTTCCTCACATCATGGAGAGCCAGGTAGACAGTGACGTGCTCCTTGGAGACCGGGATGACAGTCTTGTCTCGCCGCTGGGAGCGGAGCACGTGGGCAGCCGTCAGCACCCAGGAGTCTGAGAGCAGGGCCCCGCTGCCAAACCATTTGTCATTGGGCACTCGGGACATGTCCTCCACCACAATCAGGGCCTGCCAGGGGAAGAAGCCGGGCTCTGCGTTTCGCCCACCAATGATGCGCTTGATGATCCCAGGCAGAGGACGAGCCGGCCGGCCGCACACTGCAGGCAAAAGGGACAGGACAGTTACTGCCAGCACTTACCTAGGAAACAAATGAGAAGGAACACCCCTGTGGGTTGTGCCACATGGCTGGTTATCTTCACATCAACACACACGTGTGTCTTTTTTTTTCCATAGAGGGCAACTCTTCTCTTTTTCTCAGTGGAGAAAGCCCATCCTTCCTGCCATCTTTACGTTTTCCTGTCAGTGTGCTACAGAGCTCAGAGCAGGCTGGGCATCCCTACACTAACAGGTCTTTGCAGTTAGTGCAGAAAAGGACCACATCTGTCCTCTGGAAGGGTTTTCCTTCCTAAAGGCAGCCCCAGCTCCTTTTGTGTCTTCCTTTGCCTGGTGGAACCATTTCTAGTGGCGAGAGTTTGCCCTCTGGAAAAGGAGTGGAAAACGGGAGTGAGCTGTTGCCCACTGGAAATGAATATGGACAGTCAGAACTGTGTATAGCACACTACAGAGCCTTGGAGGCTTTCATCCAGGCTGTACCAGACTTCCTAACTCTGAGGTCAGGCATGAATTCAGCAAAATGCATGAGCCAGGGTGGGTCTTCAAGCATGTTAACAGGTATCAGCCCATAGTCTTGGTTTACATCTGTGATCTGTGTTCCAGATGGGGGCGTGGTGCTACCACCTTCCTCAAGAAAGGGCAAGTGGAGGGATCCTTCTGCTATCTGAAAGACCTGGCAGATACTATGATTTCTGCCAAGCCTGGATTGCAGTAAAACAGGGCTGTACTTAAGGGTTGTACACTTGGGCTGGTAGGTGGAACAAGGAGATGGCTTGAGGGCTAGCAATTCCTCACTGTGCAGTTCAGTTTCTGGAGGGATTAGGCTGGATACACACCACTTCAGAAGCAGAAAGGCCAAATGAGTAATTCTGCATCCTCAGTATGCTTTTCCCAGACCATTCAGCCCCTTGCCTGGCTCTTGCTCAGTGCGCCAAGAAACCCAGTGGAACATCATTTGGAGGATGTTGCCTGGATGAAGCCTGACATCAGCCCAGCCTCACCCCTCACTCTAAGACCTCTCATAAGATCTGTGGTCTCATGGCCATGGCATTTGCCCTCCCAGAGGAGCTGTGGCTGGGGAAGGCTTTGCTGTGGGATGTTGCCTAGCGCCTGGGCTTTACTCTTGCATCTCAAGTCCTAACAGTTCTAGCAGCCAAACCAGCATCCCTCTACTCAGCTCCTCAACAGATCCAGAATCAATATTTGAGGAACCCTGATTTGCTGCCTCCAGAAGCTTTATCCAGCTTGCCCTTCTATAGCTGGGAGAGGCTTGAATTGCAGCAGCTCAGGTGTTAGTCTCATCCCTCAATGTCTGCAAGGGGAACCCGTATCTTCTGTGGAAAGTGCCAGGACTCTGCCCCAATGCACTCTGTGCTGCAAGGGGAGGATGAAAAGCCCCACAGAAAGATGGGACTGGGGCTGGCAGTCAACCCTGCAACCAGGGCAGGAACACCAGGAGTTGCTAACATGGATTTGTTGTGGCTGTGGTCTGCTGCTACAGACTCCAGGAGGAAGGGAGCATGGTGAGTGTCTCTGCATGTGCTCCACTCCCCTGCCTTTCCCAGTGCTGCAAGGAATAGAAAATGTGCTCAGGCAAATAATTCCTGCGTCCCAGCCCAGCTGGTCTGCTGCACTGAAGCTTATGGCTGTCCCAGGAAGATGATTTTAGAGGAAGTGTGTCCAGCCAAATATTTATTCTCTTAAATTACATATCAGAAATGCTGACCAGGCTGCAAATACTCCCACTAATGGCAGAGGCAGGCGCAGAGTGGCCTGGAAGAAGAGTTGCTATTGACGGGGAGGTGGCGTGAGACATGGGGAAGATCTGAAGAGCAGCTGGCCAGCTGCAGCCTGCAGATCCCAATCTCAGGAGAGCGTCACCCTCTCTCTGGGATTTTCCATTTTCCCGAAGTCTCTTTGACTTCTGTCACTAATCAGGAGGCCTGGAAATGGCCCATGAAAGCAGCTATGGCCCCAAAAGATGTCCCCATATGCTCCCAACTCAAATTAGTTCAGGCTGAAACATCAAGGAGAGATGAAGGGAGCAGCCACCACAACAAAAGCAGCCGCAGCCCTGGTCTCAGACCTCCATGAGATGTAGGGAATCTGAGGAGGTCCCTCCTCTGGCCTTGCAGTTGCTATGTGTGGCCAAAGAGCAGATACCCTCCATGGGGCTGAGCCACCTCCCCAAGCCCGGGGTGGTTGTGGCTGCAGCAGATCCAAGGCAACCGGGTCCCTGAAGCTCTCTGGAGAGCTGTTCCTGCACATCAGACTACAACCGCACCCAGGGCTGCTTCCAGCCCCCCCGGCTGGCAGCCAGAGCTGGCCCCATGCTTGGCTATGGCCAGCCAACATCCCAGGGGCTTTTGTTTAATCCCGAATGGGCGCCTGGCCTGGAAACTTGCTGGCTGCAAACATTTCTGCTACTGCTCAAAGGTTTGGGACTTTTCCTTCCCTGCAAAGCGGCTGGGTTTTTGTGCAAGGCTTGGAGAGGTGCTAATTGCTTCAGCATGTGGACACACTGCTAATGGGAGCTGACAGCCAGCGGTGCTGGGCAGGTAATGCTCTGTCCTCGGCTGGAGCCATCTCCAGTGATACTAGGGGTTCAACATGGCCAAGGACTCTGCCCCAGGGCTGCTGGCTTCCTTGACTGCTGGAGCGGGGAGCCTGGGGTGCCCTGACAGCTGGGATGGCTATGAGCCACTACTGCCCTATACTGCCAGAGAGACATGCCCTCATCACTGCTGCCTAGTACCATCACTACACCCTGACCTTCTGGGCCAGCTGGGATAGCAGAAGGCTTCTGACCCCACCATGTTCCTGGCCATACATTGCAGCAGTTGTGTGTATATACCTAAGGCATTTTGCATTGTCACCAGGGAGCAACGTCCCTGCCTAGAGAAACAATAGGTCACATCAGGTATGGAGGCATCCTCTGATGGCACATCCCTGCTTTGCATCCCTTGCCATGGGATCCGGCCACCTCAGCGCTAGTACCTGGTTGGCAGGATGGCAGCTTGATCCCCAGCTCTTCACTCCTCCATACTCCTGATGCATCACACGTGTAGGTGGCTGGAAGAGAGCAAAGTATTAGCTGGGCTGTGGCTCTGGCATGATGGGCTGTCTTCTGCAAGGAGGAGATGTTGCCCAGCTATCAGGATCCTTTGAAGCCTTTTCCAGAGCAGAAGGTGACCTCCCTTTTTCACTCTCTTTGCTCCATTCCCTGAGGGACCCTGGCAGCCCTGCCTCCATGCAGTGGACATGCCACATCCTCAGTTTCATTGCCCTGAATTGTCTGGAGGGCTGTGCTGTGCCCTCAGCCTTGGCTGGCAGTGCCACCCCAGTGATGCTGCCAGTGTCTGTTCTGCTAATGCATGCAGGATGCTGGGACCAGATGCATGGGGCCAGGAGGTATTCAGGTAGTATATAAACAGTGAGACAGGAATGTGAGGAGTTCCTTTGGCTTTTCTTGCTGAGGGAAGAAGAAGAGCTGGCTCTGAAAGGTATTGATGCCTTGGGTGCTTGGCAAAGCACCTTGTGGAGTCTCTGTGGTTGTGGACCAGGGATGAAGGGGGAAAACTGCCACGATCCCACTGTTCAACTTTGGCTATGCTGGACACTTGTGTGCTGGGATGAGGAGCCTTGTGGAGCCCTATCTGAGACTGCTGGCCCTGGTGCTCTCTGCAGCAGCAGCTTCTTTCAGAGACACATATGCTGCAGAGAGCAGATGGCAGGATAAGAAGGCAGAGTGTGGAAGAACAATCACACTGCTCTGCCGAGGCTGTGAAAAACGCAAAGCACCAGGCAGTGCTAACTCCATCCTACCTTGTTGCAGTGCAGGATGTGACCAGTCTCACAATCCCGGCACTGCAGACACAGGGTACAATGTGGGTAGGCTACATCCACAGCCTGCTGCTTGCAGAGCATCCTGGAGAGGCGATCCCAAGCTCCCCCCGCTTGCAAACACACGCATGCATGGCCACGCGCCCCTCCACACTGTGCCATGGGGATGCAGCCCAGCCCCACTGCTCACCGGTGCTGTTGGGGGCCATGTGGTAGTAGGGATGCTGGCAGTGGTACTGGATGGTTGCTCGGTAGGTGGTCAGGTTGTTCCTGGAGGAGAAGGTGGCAAAGCCATGCTCCAGCTCCGGCGGCGCTTTGCAGTCAGCAACTGAAAGCCAACAGAGAAGTGGGGTTGAGCCCTGTGCTGTTTCTTGGGTGCCCAGTTAGCTAGTGGGCAGTAATACTGGACTTTGGCATGTGATAGTGGTCCTATGGGGCAGAATGAGGGCCTGTATAATCCTGTATCTCTTTTCTCTAGGGCACTTTAGTGGGCACAGCCTGATGTGGGCACAGCCTGACATGGTCTCAGATGTCAGCAGGAGGCTATCCCCAGCCAGAGCAGCCTGGCCACTGAAACCCCAACACAGCCACCCTGCAAAGACAGGGCATGCAGGCAGCAGTGCTGAATACAACCAGCACATCTCACCCACAGGCTGTATGGCCAACACCACTCACAATGGTGGAGAACCCAGTGACTCTCCTGTGCACTTCATTTAGTGCAAGATTTCTCTCTGCTATACTTCCGAGAAGGGAAGAAACCTGCTGTGGCAGGTGAGATCCATTGAGAGATGGTCCCAGAGTATGTCATTGCATCCCTTGGCTGTTGGCGGGGAAAACCAGGCACTGATGCATTAACTTATGCCATGCATCAGGGGAGCTCCCTTATGCACAAGGCTTTGCTGAGTGCATGGCCACATCCCTCCTGCTCTGGGTCTTGCTCACCATTCAGTGTTGATAAGCATTTACAGATCAGGCTAAGCAACCCATCGTCCTGACTGTCCTGCAATGGCAGGGAATGAAGGACGCCGAGAGTGTCTGAGCTGGCCTGGGAAGCCAGTAGGTGCTGCTGAAACACCACCTGCTCCATCCACTGGGATATAAGCAAGGTTGGCTCTGTTTCACCCATCTCTGGTGTGGGCTCAGGGTATGATGGAGAAGGTTGCTGTTGCCCTTCCCCATGGCCTGTCCATGGTCCCCTTTCTCCCCCAGACCTCTCACAGTGCCCTGCCCTGCCCAGCCTCTACTTGCAGCTTGTCCCCTGAACTAGGCTTGTGCCACTCACCCCAGGAAGGAACCAGGGCTGGGAGGTGGTTCGTCTGCCAGAGCCATGGCAACTGCAGGTCCCTGCCTACCATGTGGGCAGTTCACAGCACACCCAGGTGATGCTGTGAAACCTCCCTCTGCCCTGTCCTGGGGAACCTGCCCCACCGGAGGTCAGGAACTGGGGTCTGATCCTGCTGGGACATGTGGTGCTGTGGAGATGGATTCTGCCTCATTTAAGATGAGAGGTTGAGTAGGGGATGGGTGACTGCAGAAAGCAGGTTCATGGGTCTTCATGTGCTCCAGGATGGGAAGCGGGAAGGACAGGACCCAAACTCCTCACACAGTGGTCCAGGCTAACGAAGAGAGAATTCGCTAGCAGCAGTATCTGGAGCAGGGACATGTACTGATGCTCAGGGTTGCCTAATTGGTTGGGTGAAACAAAACTCTGGAGCTTGCTGTTCACCAGGATCCCCTCCACCCGCTATAGGGACAGCAGGGGTGTGTGGGTGCAGCCAGGTTAGGTGGAAGCTCAGGGCACTTGTGCCTTGCAGAGGGGCAGAGGAGGGGACACAGACCCCTCTCTAGACCTGGGTGTCCCTAGCTGACCTTGAGCTTTCCTGCTCAATTCCCATGGTGCTTGTGTGCAGAGTGTTCCTGTGCCATGGTACCAGAAACTGTGGAACATTTATAAGGCACTGGGGGGTGCTGGGACTTGCAGAAAGGAGGGAATGGATACTGGGGGTCCAGCCTGGCTTACACACATGCTCTGGGGTCGTTTATAGCTGCAGGGCAGCATTCATTGGCCTGCACAGCACATACCCTCCCTTTGTGTCCCCCAGGCCTGTGGCAAGCCTGATGCCTGGAGAATGGGCTCTTGCACAGAGGTGTTACTCCAGCA